GTCCATGGAGACTTTCCGCGACCGCTATGGCGACAACTCTGCGATAGCTGCGCTAGCTGTCATCGTGGAAGATGAGGAGATTGGCAAGAAGAGGCTAATCCATGACGCTACTCATGGGGTGAGGGTTAATCACCGCATACGCTGCCGCGACAAGCTACGCGCCCCTGGAGCTAGAGAAAAGAAACAGCTACTGCTAGAGATATGGAGCGAGGAGAAGTGGCCTTCTGGGTAGTGGGCGACATTTCGAAGGCCCGCCGTCGCTGGTTTTTCAAAGAAAGCCTCGAGTAGGGCAGAATGGCGATGCTAACGAGTCATCCTCTAGTGAAGATGCGCCGCCAGCTGCATCGTCAGGCCATAGACCTATTAAGGTATTCGTCATCATCCCTACAAAGCGCCAGGCATCACCTACCTGGAGCCAAGTCCCGCTGGAAGAGATATTATTACCCTCTCGTGCGGCGATTCAGTTGATGCTAGGCCTGAAGACCTGTGTTTGATTGTTAGTCAACAGGCCATTCCAATGATAACCGGGAAGGTTCTGAAGGTGAACCAGAGCCTGAAAAACCCAGTGGCTCACCTACAAAAGGTGGCCCCAACAGTGGTACCAACCAACATGGTACTAGTGTGGAAGGAAGAGCGGCTTCAAGCGCTCAAGTGCCTAGTAACGAGGGTGTTTCAGTCAGTGGTGGGAATCGTATTTCCGCGTTCACCCGACTCACTCCAGCCAGTGCTAGAACGCCTCCAAGTCCTTCGTGGGGCTCTGTAGATTCATCGGGTCGGAGATTCCATGCCCGTTATGATTCAGGCTCTAGCAGTCGTAATGTTAGTGATAGAGATACTAGCTGGGGGGAGCGCGCGATCCGAAGCGCTAGTCTGGCGACCTTCAGTGATATGCGAGAACCTGTCACGTCATCGCAAGATGAGGAACCCGACACTCAAGCTGAGGAAAGGGGAGAGCCATTAGCTCCAGGGGCTTCTATTGATGACCTCTTGCGGCTACGTAACCTCCAGTACCTTGCCCCCATTACGCAGAAGACTTGATGGAAGAGGGTGTCGCGCGCAGAAGCCATCAGACTTTTGCAAGGGTGCTGTACGACCATTTCGCCCTAGTACTACGCTCCTTCGGACTCTGCCAGTCAGGGGTCAAGACCCTGGCAAAGTAGGCGCGCGGAGCCCATTCAGAGTGAAGCCATTTCCTCCATCACGTTGAATTGGTCCAACCTCGACCTTTCTATGAGGTGTTTAGGCAGCAAGATACAGCCAGTACTAATAATCCCCTATGGTTAGAATCTGTTAGAAGGAGTAAATTCTGATGTGTTGGTCCATGTTTCTGTAGGGACCGTTCTTGGTGCTCCAAAATTGTAGCCAGTGATCCACACCGGTGGTGCGGGCAGCAGTGCTAGCGCCAATGGCCCACCAGTGAGAGCGGCTCCAGCGCTGTCTCCTCTCGGGAAGAGGAGGAGTACCAGAAAATTTGTGAGCGCGATGAGCAACTTGATGACCAGTGGCTTACAAGTGCAATGGTAAATCAACCTCCTGAAGTAAGAGGGCCAGGGGACACAAGTATGGGTGAAGTTGCCGAACCAGGAGGTGTTAGCTTTGGAAATCAAAAGCTCCACTTTTCTGTATGATGTTTTGGTGGAGGCGTCAAAACTTTCCAAGTCAGTAACCCCAACCAGTGATGTTTACATCACTTGTGGAAAAGAGTCATAAACCCCCGAATTCCCCTGAGTGCTCAAGAAGTACTAGAGGGAAGTGTGTTAAGGATTCACTACCGATTAATTACTACAAGGTAGTGCGCCTTGGGATGGTCAGCCAGAGTGCTTCGCCTTCGTAGAAGGGAGATGCGAATATGGGAGTCGTTGTCAGTACTATCATGAGCAACGAGGTAGTAATTGCGTCATTTGTGGATCCGATGACCACGGTTGGGAAGATTGTGCCTGTTTTGGAGGTGCGAAGTATGACTCCAGTAAGGACCCGAGGTTCCCCGCTGCTGCTGAGAAACAGGTGGTTAAAGCTGCCCGAGCCAAATGGCTCAAAAGACCTACGTGGCAGTCCGCAAGATATCCTCGGCCAGTCGAACCATCTCATGCTCCACCTCGTTCTATGTGGGGGGAGAATCGCCGCAAGTCGCAAGGTTCCTGGAGATTCAATAATATCTGTTATCCAGAGGATGAAAAGCGGTCAGAAGTACCGGAACAAGATGAACCGGTTGATGAACCTTCAGAGGATAAAGGCCGTGCTCCAATCCAGCGGGTGTCCCTCGTAAAAGGATTACCTTCCGCCGCAAAGCCACTGCCAGTGGTAGACAGGGTGCAACACAAGCGGCGCGGGACACAGCGCCAAGCGTCCTCCTACGCCTCCAAGAAGTAATCGCGCCCGAAAGGGCCACAGTGCTAGCGCAGTCGTTCTGCTCCGATGGTAGTACCTCCAAGAAGTAAACGGGCTTCTAAGGATCGCAGTAGTACTGAGGCTGAATCTCTTCCCGTTGTAATGCCTCCAAGGCAACCTGAGGAAAGCAAGCCCAGTGCTATTTCAGAACCAGGCGCTTTGATGTCAAAAAGGCAGAGGAAGAAAGCCTTAAAAGACCAAGGCGAAGGGGAAGAGTCCTAACGGCTCAGTTGAGCGTAGCCTTCAGCCAAAAGAGGAGAAACTCGCTAAGCGGACAATTCCTCAACCTCCGGCCCCTCCCAAGCGTCGAAAAAGGACTCAGTCCGAACAGCCGGAAGGTGTAAAAGAACCTTCTCCTGAGCAGCCAAAGGCGTATCTGGCTCCAACCCCCAAGATCAAAGCTGCTGCGGCAACCTCCAGTAGTAAGGAGAAAACAGTGACTCCAGTCGAAAAGAAGATCAAGACCAGCCGGAAGGCCGCCCCGGTAGAGGAACTACCAGTCGTCAAGAGTGAACCACTAAACGATGACCCGACTGAGGAGGTCAAGATTCAAAGTCTACAGGAGTCAGTGAAGCGATTCCAGCTCCTATAACTCCGAATTCCTCGGAAGGTGAGCCTAAGGCGACTAGTGGTCAACTGGGGAGTCAGAAGACCGCTATGCAAGCGCCAGTCAAGCCTCCAGTTGTATCACCTTCCTTCCCTGGGCTTGGGCTTCGGGAAGAAGCTAGAGGGAGTAGTTCTAGGCCTCCTGATCCGCCAGTAAATAGGGGTCAAACTCGGGAGGAATCATAGCGGTCTTGACATTGGAATCAACTTGTCAGCGAATGCTGACATATCGTGATCTGTTGGCCTCTGGCCGTCTGCCTGGAAATATGGTAATCGTTCACGAGGATCGGTCAGGAGTAGAGTTCAAAGTACTGATGCATAGGTCTGGACACACAATGCACATCGTCCAAAGTTCCTGAGTGATACCGGATGGTGTAGTGTTCAAGGCGTTGAACAAGAATGTAGACCTCACAGTTCGGGAAGAACCTCTACCGACCAGTCTTAATCCTCCGACGTTGAGATACACCATCAACCGCCACATAGTGGGGAACATGACAGTGCATGACCCTGCCATTCCATGCACGCGTACAGATGACGTACCACATCTGATCTCGTTTGTCGCTTCAGAAGACCTGCAAAGGACTCTTGTCCTCGATTTATGTGGAAATCCACTTACGTTAGTGGGCCCTCAGGGACATATAGTCGGAGAAGTCCGCAACCTTCTTCGATTGGGTCCAGAGATCTCCCTTGCTGGAATTTGTGGTTGCGGCCGTCGCTACGCAAGCGTGCGAGACGGGGCGTACATTCCATGTGGAGTTACTTTACTTCAGTGGCTAAGCTCCCCAGGGAACGGGGAAAGTGCTTGTGCATCAACAGTTATGCATAGAAGCATTTGTACCTTCCGCAACCATCTTGGATCATATGCGTTCAACCACGTACTATACATTTGAAATTCATAAAGTAATATCTTTTGTGCAGCTTTGTGTGTTGTTTGTGACCTTTTGGGTACCTGAACGCGAGCCATAAATAGTGCCTCTTTGCCCTCCTTTTCGCTGCCTGCCACCAGCAGGATGCATACCTGCATGGGCTTTTGGGGACTGTAAAGAAGGAAGCACCCAAATGCCAAATTATGACGTACATGGTTTTTGAAGCCTCCAAAGGGTAGTTGTTTTCTTCACATAGTTTTATGGGTGCCTTTGAAATTTCCTAGCCGTATTTAACGTGGCTTGCGCACTTGTATAGGGGGCATCCTCTTATTGCCACTGGTTGCCCCGCGAAGAGGGTGGCAATTGAGATTGATGTCATTTGCGGACGTGGAGTTGACGTACTTGCATGTACTTGCAATTATTTTGTGCACAATTCAGTCCGATCCTCGCTGTGCATTGGTAACACCAGTACCCTGCTAGATGTATGCTTCTCATCCTTCTACGACGGTGGTTATAGCATTACCCAGCTTTGGCCTTTAATGACGACGCTAGGACGTGGGCTCATGCATTGCGTGTCGGATCATGTTTTTCAATCTTGCCATACATGTCAGCAACATGGGCACCATTTCAGAGCAGAGTTTTTCCGCAAATTGGCTTCCCAATACGAGGTGCAGCTGGCGTGAACATTCAAAATATTATTTGCCTGGTTATCAGGCCAAGGATTTAGGCGAAGCCACCGACCGCAGACCACTAGCGTCATTCCACATTTTTCCGTATGTGCTGCAAACCCTGTTGGCCGAAGGGATCACGACATGTACAAAGTCTGCATGGGAGCACAGGTCCTTACCCACCTGTGCCCAATGAAGCTCAGGGTAAGCCACCAAGATATCACGAGGGACGCCGCGTGACGTACCTAGAGTCAATATTTCAAATGCCGTTTTCTGGTAGCCTCGCATGCTTAAAGAGCCAAAATTCATGCCAGAAGAGCGCAGTCTGCCCCTCCCTATGTGTGGAAGGAGTTTCCGAAGTGCCTGCGATGGCATGTTAAATTGCTGTGCCACACTTGCCCGAACAGAAGCGATGTTAGATTTGATTTTGCATCGTTGACAAAACTTCGCACCATTGCCATTGCGTGCCAAGGATATGCGTACCTATGTGACGGTAACCTCATTTAATCCTTTGGAGGCCGGGCTATCGGCAAAGTTCTGCCAACTTTTTTCTCCCCAATGTCCTGGAAACTTAGAGCTGGCAGAATCGTTATGAAGCGACACTTGGTTGCTCAGGCGTTTGTGTACAAGGATGGCTTTGCTCGATTCACCACAGTACCCTACAACACCACTTCCGACGACATTGACAACAAGCTGTGGTCCAAGCAAGATGTTCTGTCGATTTTGAGTGCGTGCGTATTCAGCATCAGATGGCCTTTCCTAACTTTTAAGGTTTGTGCACTTGACAAACTCATCCATACAAAGGACAGCTTGTTCTGCTTGAAAATTGTGGCAGGCATTTAAGATTTGGATCACATTCGCAGGCACAATGAGGAGAACTTCATGCAGAGTGATGACAGTAAAGCCGCATGCCCATTCCGATTCACATGCTGAAACTTCTTGAGTTTTAGATAAATTGATTTGTAAGGACATGTTTCGACGGGAAGAAGCTATCATTGGAGGGACAAAGATTTCGCCGCGCCCTTGAAGTGCCATGATCATGATCATCTTGTGCAGCAAATTTTCCCTGCATCAGAGAAAGGCTAAGACAACGAAAGCTTCAAAAACAGAAGCTGACATTGGAGGGCTTCACTGCATCTGGATTGTGGAGCTGCAGGTAGCCACTGAGTCTTTTGAGCAAACGGTTTTGAAGATAATTTCAAATGGAGCTTTGCAATTAGAATTCAACGCGCGAGCCTCAGCCTTTCAAGTCGAGCGGACCGCTCGTGTCAGTTCCTATGCGAATGCCATGCGGGTGGGTGGATGCCCGTCACGCATATGTGCAACAATCTCTCGCCGGGAGTGGAAAGGTGGGATTGGTCGAGCATTTCGCCTTTGATGGACATGAGTGGGGTATTTTCAGGAAATCAATCAGAGAGGTGTGCAGCAGATCCGATTCAAGCTGCGAGCGGAAATCAAAACCGCTCACATCAAGAAATCCCCCTTTGAGGCTCCATGCGCAGCTTGGGGACCTCATCAGGACGCATCACTCGCTTTCGCGGGTCGAACGCGCAGTGGAGATCGTCAAGGTGTTTTGCAAGGCGATTAGGCAGGGGACTTGGCACAGGTCGTCCTTGAAGGCTTACTCTTGGAAGAATTCTTGATGCAAGAAGGCTTGGGCCACTCAACGCAGTCATTGAAGCCTGGAAAGGAGAACCTAAATGAAAACTCTGCACTGACGGCATCCTTCGCAGACATATGGACGAAGGCACCAACGAAATAGAGATATGAAAAGATGATGCTGCTCGGATTGACGGATTCCTTAAGAATGGCGCGAAGCTTTTTCCACAATCACAAATTCGATTGTTTCTGTCGTTTTATGACATCTGGAATGCTCGTGCAACTGCTCAACGCAACCCCGTGTTTCAGCAGTCTGGCAAATTCTATCAACTCACCATCACACCACGCAGTCAACATCTGCAACAGGCCTCAGCAATTCTAGAGCTAATGCTGATCTGCATCAATGAAAATCAGAAATCTCATGGGGATTGTGCTTGTCCTGGGTACACACCAACTTTGGATACACAAATCTGTGGACTCGCAGATCACCGCTGCCACAGCAAGGCGCAACGCAGGATTTCTGCCTGTCCCAAACTGTAGGAGAGACATGAACCGCACATCGGGCTTGAAAGCACGGTTGTGCATGGTACTCAATCTGTCCGCAGTCTGGCAAATTCCGGCCATCATTGTTGCTGCTTGGAACGCCCTTATTGTGCATCTGAATCGGCTTCGAGATCAAAGCCCCGATCCTGCGGAACCAGCGCTTGTACTGTCGTTGGCAGGAAACTTGCGTTTTCTCATTTATGGCTTGCGGGGTACCGGTTGAGCCTTGCTGTTGTTCTTGTTGAAGAAGTGAGCTGCATCAGGTTTCCGATGCTGCGGGAACGGTTGGAGGCGGTGGGAATTGAATGGGCTCCGTTCTTAGCTTTCCAATCATTGCAGCTTGCTAGCACAGATGTATCTGGGCCACCAATGCCTTCGCTTTCAGGCGACCGTATGGGCGAGGATGATTGAAGTAATACTGAAGTCGTTATGCATGGCAGAGGATTTCATTCCCAACCAGGTTCGCCTCTCAGTGGACTAAGAGTCTAACTTGTTGTGATGCTTACTTCTGCTTAGCGGCAAGGTGAATTCCTTCGAGCTGTTCGGGTATGACTTGTTGATGGATTCAAAGATGAAGGCCCGGCAGTGGTTTTGGTCAGCTCAGTGATGAGCAATGTTTTTGCAAACATGCCCGAAGTGCCGAGCCCAAAGTTGTCTGGCACAGAGGAGTCAGGACCCAGATCAGTATAATCTGTACTTCAATCGGCATCCTCCTTGCCACTGCCAGTATTCGAAGGTGTGGCTGATCGAAGTCAACTCTTCACCTTCAATGGGGCAGGACGTGGATGAGCATGCTAGCACGGGTGACGCAGCACATGCAGCACGTGCAGTGGCCCACGCCCGGGAGAGCGGTCCACGCAGCCTGCAAGCCGCTTCCTGTCCTCTTTGCGTCTTTGTGAATCTGGAGCGTCTGGTACACATCAGCACCGCTACATGTGCACGTTGGTATGCGGCCTCGTTTTTTTGAAATATTAATGTGCATTTAAACCTCAGCTTGGCAATATTTATGCTTGGCAGTTCTTAACGCACGAACTGAAATCATGCCTCCTTAAACGATAGAAGCAAAGAGCATGATTCTGGTGTGACATCGCGACCTCCATGTTGTTCAAGCAGACGTTTGGCAAGTTTTCTTCGTAAGTGCCCAATCCACAGCGTGTGTACAGCTTGTCCTTCTTCCATCTATCTTCCTATGCTGCAGACATGCAGGGTAATGAGGAAGTAACATATCACGACCGTGAAGCTCGAGTTAAGCGATTCAGTTACAAATTTGAAGTTGCCGGACGTCCGCAATTCCACCCATTTACGGCTTTATTCGTTAAATTTAGTGATTCAGATATTGCATTAGTAAACTGTCAAGTTTAGTAAGCTCCCGTAGCTTTGAAGCATTTACGGTAGCTGGTGTCAGGAATTTTTCCCTACTGTGATATTTCAGATAAGTGGTTCAATACTTCACTACTGAAGAGCAGCTTGATTGAATGACATGGAAGTAGGGGAATCTTGAAAAAGCTGTAAGTTTGTGGGTTTCCAACGGATCACATCATGCATGAATAGTTGAAGATTCTGATCACTCGGCATAATGATCTCATGGTTCAGTTACGTAAGTCCTCAAATTTGTAAAGCGCCCAAATTCGTGGAGCAACTTGCAGTGATTGACTGGTCGGCTGACGAAAATTGTTAAGCTATTTAGGAAGATGTTCAGCTAACTGTCTTTGACAAGTTATATCGTCTAAAACGTTAAAACTTAAGTTAAAACTATCTGGATTTCCGAAACGAGGGGCTAGGGGGGCGTCCGTGTACGGGACGTTATCGGGAAAACGCCCGCAGGGCAGAAGGGGGGAGGGCGGGGAACTGGTAGTTGAGGCTCCACCGCACAAGATGAGAGAGATGGGGTCGACCAGCAAAAGGGCCCATGGAACATCCACTCTCTCTTGATGATAGGCCCGCAATCTAGGGAAATAGGGGAGCAAATACGTGCCGTGTTGCTTGGGGGCCACAATGTAGCAGTATACCTCGGCCGTGGCAACCTAGCGGCAGCCGAGGGTGGACACGAGATGATGGCCGGGAAGTTCAATTACCTGCTAAGAGCTACGTTTTCTTGTTTCCCGAGCCACCAGGGAAGAAGATCGTGTCCAACTTCAAAGTTGTTTCCTGCTTACGCTTTGTAGCTATCATCTGAATGATGAGCAGCATTTCTGACCTTTGCTCAAAATGTGTTTGCCCGAGTTCCGAGTTTGAAAGCTAGGATGGAACGGCCATCGTTTTCCCCAACCCGTCCCACCGCACCCCCCACCAATCCCCTCCACCCACCCACCCTCACCCCTCCCCGTCTGCTAGGCGGCGGGAAACCAGGCATACATTGAACACCCACTTATCCTTGACTTAGCCCCCAAAGTACCAAGCCTGACCAAGTTTTTCTAAACTGTAGCCTTTGTACTGGAAACTCCTGTCAGAGCTGCCCCGTGAGACTCATCTGGCGGACTGTGGACAAGCTGTTGTCGTCCTAGATCGCGATAGCTATTGCAACATCTTCATGGATTCGGCAATTCGCAAGTTCCTGTACTGGTGAATTTTATTAATTGGGCACTTGGTGTTTGCATGGGACTTTACTGCTTTCCTTCGTCATCTTTACTGCAAGAAAGGAAGCACCGTCTCGCTGCTCCCCGTGCTCCAGTCGTACCGATAGACAGAGCGGAGACCACCGCATTACTTTGGATTCCGCTGTCCTCCTGAGTTTCTTGTCCCTCTGTTAACTTCGTCCGTCTGCGCATTTCTCTCCGTGTCGCTCTTTCTCTGTTTTTGTCTCCCCCTCCTGTCTTCCGTCTGTCTTTCCATGCGCATTTGACCGCCCTCTCTGTCAGTCTCTGTCTTCCGCACCTCTATCCTTGTTTCTTGCTATCCGTCTTCTTTGAACTTGAATGTTGTCGCCTACTATATCCATCTGCGAGCAGGTCTGTTTGTTCATACGAATGCAGGAGCATCTACTGGACGAACATGTCAAGCAGCCACTCATCAGCGCCGGAGCCTCAGTCTTTCCGTATCACTCCTCAGAGTCACTCCGATTTGGAGGTGAACTCTTGGCTTCTGCTTTTGCCAGCTAGCTGATGATCTGGCTCCTGCTTGGTTCTGTGCATCACAAAAACTTCCCAAACTTATATTATGCGACATGACAAATTTCGAAGGTGAGTTGTATGATGCCGCTGTTGGGGAGGGTTGACGGTTGTGCGCAGCTGCAGCCGATGTAATTAATCAGCTAGCTAGAAAGGCGTCTTTTCGTCAACGTTTTTGCACAATTAATTGGCACACTACTGTGCAGCAGGATCATGATAGTGCCATCTCGGAGTCCGATGAACAGAACTCCTCAAGTCACAGGCGACGCTGGTATAAAGTGGAACTGTTCGTCAGCCCTGTATTTTGCAGGATGATAACGTACAGAAGAAATGTAGCATTGACGAACTCAGGGTGTCTAAGGGAGCAGTGAGAGTAAAACCAGCTCTGAATCATTCAGGAGCCTCTGCTTTCAGGTGCAAGCTCTACAAACTCTCAGTTGCGTTGAGGTTCTGTCGTTGAGTACCGCGTTTCCGGACCAGCGGGTGCTGGTAGCTCTGAAGCTTGACCTTACAGCCCTGGCCGTATTTCTTCTCTGCGTCTGGTCCTGCCTGTCTATTATCTCTGAAAAGAAAATTAAGGCCATTTGCAAGCAGTTCACGCGGAGCCATTTCGGTAAGAGTGGCTGGATTGGGAGCTTTGCCGCGGTTCCTTTTTTTCAGCACCAAGCGTGCTGTGCGGACAGATGTGCTTTGGATGATCTGTGGCGGGATTGTTTCAGTGGGAATTCCGATGTGGGCGCATGAGATGTGAGACTCGCTTGGTGTGGCGGCAAATTTGTACGCGAGTGGAGCTGAAGCGGGCACGAAGTGATGAAGGCGAGAACGAGATAGATCAGTCAAACTTGAGTCGAAGCATTAATTAGAATTTGGAAATTCAAGCTGAGGATACGATCGACTTAGTTGAGCCATTGGAGTTTGACAGGCGCAGGTGGCACATGACGTTCGCGCTGTCTTTCTGTTCAAATGCGCCTTGATATGCAGGTTGGCAGAGGTTCTGCACCGCCGTGTCGAGTTCTTGCGGCGAGCTTGCGACTCCCAGTGCTGTCTCAAGAATAGGGTCAGAGTGTCTGCAAGGAATCTAAGCTCTGCAAGGAAGCAAAGGCATTCAGTGCAACGAGTTCTTGTTGATGACTTTCTTAGCACAAGAGCGCAGCTTAACGACAACGTACAGCATGTTTGAGGAGGTATCTGAAGAACGCATGTTTGGATGCGCTGCATCTGGAATCTGGACCCGGCGGAAAAGCAATTAGATACAGCGTGTGGCAACCAGATGTGACGTAGCGGCGACTCCGCTTGTGCAAGTAATTCATTGCTAGCAACTTCAGCATGCTTTCTATGAGATTCTGGCCCAAGAGCCGCTGCCAGGCGAAAGGCTGCGACTGGAGCAACCGGTGGCCGCCAACAGCATGCATCTCAAAATGCCGCACAGGCTGGCACGGACAAGAGAAGACCCATCAAAGCACAGGTTGGATATTGACCTTCATGCAGTGCTGAAGGGGCAACTTCCAAGGACCGACAATGATTTGTTAGAAATGGCTGTGATGCCCATAATTGGCACGCCTGTGTTTGAAAGCGTGTTAGAAGTTCCTACACCCTGAGGAAGTATGGCGACATGCCGCAGCACATGGGGAATTACGAGCGAATTGCCCCAAGCGAAGCTTGCACAGGGCTTACTTTCTGAAGTTTCAAGAGCACAGTTGACCGCTATCCGTTCGATTATGCAGCATTGGCCGCTCTGAGGGGACAACATGGTCCGAAGTAGAAGCCTTCTGTTCAACAGGGTCGGGCCATATCCTCAGCCTCGGCAACTGCTCTGCGCAGCGTCAAGCTGCAGCTGAAGCTGCTTAGTCTGCAGCGAAGTCCACAGCTGACCCCGCGCGGCGATTTACGATCAGAGCTGCTGAGTAGTAGTGTCATCATGATTCAGTCCTGGCAGCTGCTTACTGTCATGCAGTGACCTAGGTCTTCCAGCTGACCATGCCCGTTTCATCTTGGGGAAAAGGCATCTTGTGAAGTGTGCCGTTGATCAGTCTCCCCAGTTTTGCAAGAATACTTCCTCCAGCACGCAAGTATTGCAGGGGTATTGCTGCTATTTCTGGGCCGTTCCTCGATGTCCAAGCCAAGCCAAGACAAAATCCGGAGCAGTACCTGACTTGTGAACCTGAAGCTTCTGTGCTTTTGGACACTTGGCAGTTTGTGCACCACAGTTGCAGAAGGCTTGGCTCAGGGTGGTGTCATTTGCCTTTCAAAGGACATAAGATCTATCAGTGAAGCATCTCATGACGGCTAGTGATGTTATTATTTTAAGGCTGCCCAACAAGAAATCCCTGTAGTGCGCCTGTGGCCTGAGAATCCATGTCAAACCTCGTCCAAAGAGAATACCTTTGGGCCTCCCGGAAACACGGAATAAGAGACATAGCTGTGCCTACATGGCGAAGCGTCGCCGAAGTAGCTTTCCGGCAGCAGCAGTGGTGCTGGCGTCTTTTGGCCCTGCGTGCGTGCTGCACCTTGACACAAAACCACCAGGGAGTATGCCGCCATGAGCCGCGCTGGCAAGTGAACGTTGCCGGCGAGTCATGTTGGTGCTTCAAAGTTGAGGTTATGGTAGAATCCAGTTTGTGAATTTCGGGCAACATTTGGCGAGGGTTTGTATGATGGCAGTGCTCTGACAGCAATTGCGGGAAGGATTGCTGTACAAGCTGTGGTGCAGTTTAACTTCACAGACATTGTTCAAGGTGGTTTGCATTTTAAGCTTCATACAGTTCGTAAATCCGTGGTTGTGCGGCTACAGTATCCCACCTGGATCCACCAGGGCGTTTCCATCTACAGCACAGGGAACGAAGCTTATGGAGACAAAGGCTGAAGGTGACTGCGTCAGTGACTGTGTGGCAGACAAAGGGAATGGAAAGAGTTGAAACACGGCTGATCGATGCCTGGAACCTGGAATGCATCAGACCGCGTCTCGTCTGGGAGCTGCATTTTTTGTTTTGTGTCAGACAGCATGTAGTGCTAGCGGCAGCATAACACTCGTAATTCCGATGGCACTGTTTTCTGTGTTTCCTTTGGTTTGGTGAAGTGAACTGCACTTTTATTCATGCACTCCTACGCCATCTCTTAACACGAGAACTACTGCTCCTGACCAAACCAAACTTACAGGCCTCGCCCAGCGTCAAGCCAGAATTGATGTTTCGGTACGTTCCCCTTTCTTCTCTCGCAACACCTCTGTATTTCTCTGCTTTGTAGCCCACATAGCCTGTCCTGTATTTGCCTTTGCAATTCCACATGTGTTCCTGTCGCATCATTTGAGCGTGAGGAGCTTTGAAACTTGAAGCCCCAAGCTCTACCTACAGGCCGTGAAAAACTCCCAGGCAAAAACTACATGCTCACCGACTTTGCGGCACCTCTACGCCCCTTGCAACTCGTCGCATGGATGCACATGGATCAGCGTTCTTGTGCTGAAGCTGAACGATTAGCATGAAGACCCGCATGGACCGTGGCGAGATGCTGTTTGTGCTCTTGAGATGTGCACTGCAAAATTGCAAATGCACTGAGCTGGAAGAAGTCGATGTTGAGAAGATTCCTTCAGCTTTCCATCTGAATGCAGGCTTTTTTTGTGAATGGTGGTTTTATGTACAGACAAACTGTCTGCAGAGACTTTCTGCTTTGTGCCGCGGACGAGCCGTCTTGTCAGCAACATTCTTTAAATGTTGCCTTTGCACTGGACCGCAATGGCTCCCCATGGAGCGCAGGCAGCCTTGAAAATCAGATGAGGTTCTGTGGTGAGCTCAGGGTCTTGCACACATCTTTTGGCTAGCAGGCACGCGAAGTTATGCGATTTTGTGTATCCGGAGGATCCCACGATTATCATACCATTCATTGCAAAAATCCTGACACAGGCATATTATATCTTCCGCACAGGCGGAAGAGAAATCAGCAAATGGGATTTGGTACAAAGTGAGTGACCGAGACAGGTAAAACGTCGGTCACTGCAGACAAGGTTCTTTTTTTCTCGCTGTAAGATCTCTGAGGCCTTCCGGGGCTGTGGTTCAGACTTGGGGTGCCGTGGCCGGGTCTGAGTTGTATATGAGATGGCACTGTCCACTTCGTTGATTCAACAAGCAAGCTGTGAACTTTTGATTGCTGGAGGCCGCCTTGGTTCGTGAATTGCGGATTTAGCTGACAGCTTCAAGCACAATTCGATGTCTAAATTCTGGAATGTCGACCACAGGAAGAAGAACGAAGCAAGAAAGAAAACAGCATTACGCATCAGAAGCATTAAATGGGCTAAGCTGCTAGCGAGAAGTTGTGTTCAGTTCATGTAGCCTTCCCAAGGCACTTGTGCTCAGCCATCGTGATTTGATTTCATGAAGAGGAAGAGGGATGATGCAAGTGTGTGGACGTCGACTCATACTTATTCATCACAGACGTCGGACACGTCTGCGAAGGAGCGCGAGTATGGGCGGCGCCTGTCGAATGCCTCCAGTTCCTCAGAAGTGCAGGAAATTTGGCAGGAGGCCAGCAAAAACATCACACTCAACGAAATTCATCTGACTAAAGCGCTGAAAGGTTGCCAAGATGATCCCAAGACTGCTATGCGACTCCTGCAGGATGCCAAACAAGCTGGGGTGAAACTCAATGTCTACCACTTCACTTGCGTGCTCAGAATACCTGGCACCCCAACAAACAAGATTTTGATGAAGATGGAGAAGCACTCAATTGAGGGGAACCACTTCACATGGAATGCAGCTCTAACTGGCTGTGCTGCTCAGGACGTCTGGGCTATTTTTGACAGGATCTCTCAACCAGACCGCTATGCTATTGCCAGTTTGCTGAAGAAGTGCACGCCAAAAGAAGTTCCGAAGGCCTTGAAGGCTGCAAAGCGTCATGGAATCCAGCCCGACCGGGCAATCCTGAATTCTGCTGCTTCTTCTGCGCCTGCTTCCTTCCTGAAGATTTTGAAGGAGATCGACGTGAAACCTGACCTTCAATTTTTCAACATTGTGTTAAACAAAGCCGCAGATATGGATTTGCCGGATACTGCACGTAAAGCCTTTGCTGAGCTCAAAGAGCGTGGCTTCAGACCAGACTCTTTTTCATTAAACCGATTGTTGTCAGCGCTTTTGCGACACGGCACTCAGCAGGGAAGCATGGATGGCGTCGAGGAAGCACGGACCGTGCTGGAGGCGCACAGAAAAGTGATTGACAAGCACACTTGGACGATTTTTGCTAAATCGCTGGTTGAGTCCAACAGGGCTAGCGAAGCACTCCAGCTGTACAAGCAGCAGCAGGACAATTTTGTGAAATTGAAGCCAGACGTTGCATTCTTCAATATCTACTTAAGTGCATGTGCCAAGACAGCACAAGTAGACATGGCCGAGCAGATTCGGGCAGACCTGCGACGTTTCACGATGGCCGATCTTGTAACGCATCATTGCATGATTCAGGTTTTTGCTGCTGCCGGACGGCTGGATGCTGCGGAGGAAGAGCTTCAACTGATGCAAGTCAATGGTATCGAAGCCACAGCAAGAACGTACAACAGTTTAATCGATGCTGCCAGTAAAGCGGCGGACTTCAAGCGCGCCAGAAGGTTGCTCCAGATGATGCAGGACCAGAACCTCGAGCCAGACGTCTTTACCTTCAATATCCTCATCAACAGTGCAGCCAACATGGGCCGATGTAAGAAGGCAGAGTCCTATTTCCGCACCATGCAAGAGCTTGGGATTACTCCGGATATTGTGACAGTTGTGAGTCTTCTGAACGCGTACTCCCATGGTGCAGAAGCAGGCAAGGCAATGGCCTTACATGAGCAGCTGCCTGGTCTCGGACTGGAGCCAACAACTTCTTCCATGAATGCCCTGATTGACTGCCTGAGCCGAAGCGGTGACTTTGAGCAGGCCTGGGAACAGATACAGGCAGCAGAAGCTGGAGATCTGGCTGACACTGTAACTTATATGGCCTTCTTGGGCTCCTGCCGCAACCAAAAGTCCAAGCTTCATGCAAAGCAGGTCTTCGAAAAACTGAAACAAGTGGCAGACAAGCCGGCCTTGGCCAGCGCCTATGTGCTCATGTCAGAACTCTACGAGCGGCTCGGCCAGCCTGCAAAGGCCCGGAAGCTTGAGGCAGAGCGCTTGGCTTTGGGCCTCACGAAGCAGCGTGGCGAGTCCTATCTGCATCTGCCTTCTGGCGGCGCAACAACCTTCGTGGCTGGCCCATTCGAGGAAGAGGAGATGCAGCTGGCCCTCGACACGTTCACAACGCGTCTGCGACAAGGTGGCCACCAACCCGACCTGGCATCTGCTTCTGCGCGGCATGATGGTGACACGGCCAAGGAGCAGTCGTTGCGCATTCACTCCGAGAAGAAAGCAGTTGCTGTGGCATTGACAATTTCGTCAAATGGCCCGATCAATGTCACAAAAAACCTTCGGGTTTGCCACGCTCTCAATTGCTCCTCACGTCCTGCTTGCGCCCTGAGTCCCAATGCTTACTTACTGTAGCTCGTGTTGCACCTTCAGGTAACGACTGCCATTCTGCCATGATGGTTGCCTCCAGGGTCTTTCGCCGGGAGATTCACCTTCGAGACCGTTCCCGTTGGCACATTTTCAAGGATGGAGCCTGCAGCTGTGGCGGTACCTGGTGATGCCATGCAGGCTGAGACACAGGAGCTTGTTCATGTTGCATCCTGTAGGTAGCCTGCTGGACGCCACCGGTTCAATGCATCCAACTTGCCTGATGCCTGCGTTCGGCAATCAAGATCCCGGGCAGGCGAAACATAAAGGGTCTTGCCATTGGTGTCGCGGTGGCCGATGGGCGACCGCATTTCTGTGCAGATACGGCGCTCAGCATCATCATCATCATCATCACGGATTGCACTCATGCAGCTATGAATGACTATGACTACAACTACTACCAGATGCTGCATCCAGAATAATGTTCTTGCATGTGTCGGCAAGTTCTTGCATGTTGTTTGTTCTGAAG